TCTTGTGCTCATTACAGTAGTCACTCACTTTAGGGATGGGAAAAAATAGGCGACAAATTTTGAGAAAGGTTCCCTTGCTACACTGAAGCCTTAAGGCACTGAGACCTGCAAATGAGGGACTTGCACACAGAGTTTACAGGAATCGATTTAGAGGCTGGGCTGAGGTAACTTTGATCATGTGATCCATTAGGTTACACCTATACGTTCCTTGTACCAGTAACACCCCTCTCCCCCACTGACACACACACCTCACATATATAATTGTTCCTCTGTCTGGTGTTTTATCTACTTCTAAATGTCCCAAATCTCACTGCTAGGCAGATTTTCTTGTTATTTAACTGAAACTTATCCTTTCACTTTTTAATTACTTCTAAATATTCCTCTCCTTTCTCTGTCTATTCGTCACTTATTTGCAGAGTGCTCAGATCCTCCCTGAGATGCCACTCAACCACTCAATCAGATTTGATCCTGTAGATATTCCCTCCAAGATTGGAAGATCTTGCCTTCCAACTCAGAGAACCTCACTGGAAGAAAGGGTGTGGGGATGGAGAGGAGAAAGAGAAGATGATATGATACAGATTTCTCCAAAAGCTCTAACTTACTGAAAGCTTAACAATGTCAGCCCAGTCTGCTGCAACAGCATACTCCAAGTGTGCATCAAGCCACCTTGGCAATTCCTTCAATGCTGGTGCCATGGCTCCCCCTAACTATAAAACAGTAAAAGGATGACCTCTATTGCAGAAAGAGTTATGCAAAATAACACAAGAAATATGGTTACACTTCTAGGCATACACTTCTAGACAGCTTAGGTGCAGTTGTCTTCCTGCTTGCTGCTGGTATTGCTACTCAGTGGCACTTGGTGGCAATGGTTGTTCTTACAGAGCAATCTACAGTCTGGCTATTTTGATTTTGATATAGCTCAACAATCCAGGTCTCTCACATAGATATTGTATGGGATCTACGGGGACATACAGCCCCATTCTGCTGCTATTTAGTCACTGAGAGGAATGAGAACTTTGTAGCTTAGGCATGGAACTAAGGCTCAGCCAGGAACCAAAACCCAGTTTTCCTCTACCAGTGAGTCACTGTGTGACCCTGGGCAAGCCTCTTCATGCTTTGGTTCCCTATCTGTAAATGCAAATGAGAGTATGTCCTTTCTTGTGATGAAAGGAGCTGGATTGCAAGGGTCTCTTGCTGCCACCAGCAATATGATTCGACTCTTGTCTTGAGGGCAAATTAGTCTCTATGGACCATTTTTTGCTTCTACCCTTTTTCCTCTGCCCCTTAGTTACTACTGCCAGTGAGACAACTAAGTTATGATAATGGTGGCCTTTTTGAAGGGTCAGTCAGGAACTAGACAAAATCACCAATTCATTTCACACAGGTCCTCCAACAGCCATCAGATGGCAACTTTTGCACATGGAAGCACAAGGACAGCTGCTCCACTTCCTAATTCACTATTTTATTTTCAATCCGAGGTGATTATTTAAAAAAAATGTACTACCCACCATTAGTGAGTCCTTGGGTTTATTTTACAAAGGAATTTTATGAGCAAGTCCCGTTAAGGTCCCTAATCACCATAAAGACTTAATAAAAAATCTAAACTGTGTGAGATTTTTTTTCTCCTTCTTTAATACAGGAGTATTAGGAGTTTTCCCTAAAAAAGAAAAGCCAATGATATCTTGACTTTGGGCTATTTTTTCAAAATACCTGAAACAAGTGAACGAATACACTTTCAAACCTACCTTTATACAGCACTGTTCTATATAGGACTCTGAAAGTTATACAGTTCCTGCACTTCTCAAATAAAGAACAAAATAAAGACATTTGCATCATATCAGAGTATTGCAATTTGTGAAATAATACCAGGAATTCAGAAGTAAGGATCTAGTCAGACTTTGAAGGTACAACTTTGAGTTTTAAGCTGAAGGCTGAATTGCTTTGCTGTTGTGGGACCTGTGTGTTTTGGCTGTGAATATTTAGAAGTCTTTCTGTACTCTGCTGAGCAATGATTCTTAATTTGTCATGGTCCTTGTGAGTTCTTTGCAACAAAAGAATTGTTCTATTATTTATCTCTAGTCAAAAATGAGTGAAAGCTAAGAGCTAGCATTTCTGAAAGATGCTTTGAGCCTAACAAGGGTGTTTTGAGTCTAAAAGGGTTGAGAACCACTGCTGTAGAGGCAGTTGCATATTTTCAGGAGATTTACATCTCCCTTGGCACATGTTATTCTGAGAATGGTGTAGATCACAACTATCCAACTGGCAGTTCACAGGCCACATGCAGTCCTTGAGGGTTTAATTTGTGGCCCCCAGGCTCCTGCCCAACTGCTGCTCTGCTCTATCACTCTGGCTGCAGCAGCAGCCCAAATCTTTGCAATCCCCTTCCCTCCTCTGGCTTCCACTTCCTGCCCTGTCCAGGGAATGAGGTGGATGACACAGCCCATGGTGCTGGGGAGAGTCGGCAGCCTGAAGTGCCTGCACAGTGCACTGCAGTGCAGAAAGAGAGCTGAGGGTGGGAACTGGAGCATCCACATGGCACAGTACAGTGGGGAGCACCTGCATAGGGTGAAGCCCAGGGTGCCCATGGTCCACACTAGTACAGTCTGTGCAGGATACAGCCCCTAGCCACTTAGAAGCTGGATGGTCCTGGTGTAGATCAATGTGTGTATTTCAGAATTTTGTTGCAATTCTATCTACCTCTCAGAACTAAATATATTTCCTGGGCCATCTGAAGCTCTCATTAAGTGTTTCAAGACAGAATAAGGACAAGGACAAGGACAAATGACAAAAAATGCTTTTGCTTACCCTCCGTCCTGTACCTGTATGTACCACAGGTACTCGCTCATCCCCTGTGAGTGAGTTTATGTCCAATTTGCTGGGGTCTTTGCAGCGCTGCCTCCTTTGCTTGGGCTTCTCTGAAAAATTCTGGAAGGCAAATAAGAGTATTAATGAGGATGGAAGGCTAAAAACACTATGGATGAATGGCAGATCAAACTGACAGCCTGAGGGGAGTTCCTGCATAGGTCTTGGAAGAAGCAGGTCCTACTTTTTGGTTTTGGAGTGACTGCAGTTTATTTTCATGGATATAGTTTGATAGTGTCACAGTTAGTAGGGTCGGAAGGGACCTCAGCAGATCATCAAGT